GCCTGGCAGCAGCATGAGGAGTCGGTACGGGGGCCCATGGCAGATTAGGGGCCTGGCAGCAGCTATGGGAAGCCCGTAATCTGCCAGCACCCTATGACAAAAAATGGAACACACCAGCAGTGTGAGGAGACCTGAAAGTGGCACATGGCAGAGTGTGTGGCGATGGAGACAGCAGCAATGGGAGGCCGTACAGGGACCCATGAGAGACTCTGGACCTGGCAGCAGCATGAGGAGGCGGTATAGGGGCCCATGGCAGATTAGGGGCCTGGCAGCAGCTATGGGAGGCCCGTAATCTGCCAGCACCCTATGACAAAAAAAATGGAACACACCAGCAGTGTGAGGAGACCTGAAAGTGGCACATGGCAGAGTGTGGCGATGGAGACAGCAGCAATGGGAGGCCGTACAGGGACCCATGAGAGACTCTGGACTTGGCAGCAGCATGAGGAGGCGGTATAGGGGCCCATGGCAGATTAGGGGCCTGGCAGCAGCTATGGGAGGCCCGTAATCTGCCAGCACCCTATGACAAAAAATGGAACACACCACCAGCAGTGTGAGGAGACCTGAAAGTGGCACATGTTTGGGGCATGATTCATGGCGATTTAGTCAGTTGTGTCAGGAACTGGTGGTTTGAAATCCAGACTAATCCACGCCTGATTCATTTTCACAAACGTGAGTCTCTCACACACTTTGGGTGGATAGTCGTGTCCTCCGCGGATGTTACAATACCTCCTGCCGCACTAAACACGGCGCTCCGATGCCACGCTACTGGCCGGGGCATGACAGCCTTTCAAGGGCAAATTCAGCTAGTTGGGGCCAAAGGTCAAAGTTGCCCATGGTCAAGGGGATTGTCTACCTCGGTTGGCAGGGTGCTGTCCAAGTAGGCCTAAGCCTGTTGTTTTAGGTCCTGCTCCAGGTCCACTCTGATGCTGCTGCTGCTGCTGCATGCGGCTGGTTAGTAGTTTCCTCACTGCGCTGGTGAAGAAAGCTACTCATCATCGACTGCAGACTGAGGCAGCTGCTGCTGTGGTGGTGGAGCTGCCACTGCTCCTACCACCCCACCCCTCCCCTGCTGCCATGGCAGCGAACGCGAGCGCACAGGGCCCACAGTGTCTGAGGATGGACGTTGGCGCAGAAAGGCAGAGACCAGCTGACTACATAGGTGGTTTTTATAGTACGTTATTTTGGCCTCCCTCTCAGCAGGTGTGAAAAAAAGGCCACCATTTTTGAACGGTAGCGAGGGTCCAACAAGGTGGACAGCCAAAAGTCATCCCTCTGTCTGATGGTTATTATTCGGCTGTCGGTACGCAAGCAAGCGAGCATGCTATGGGCCATTTGTGCCAAGGAATGCGAGGGACTCCCTGCCTCCATCTCCACAGCATACTGCCACGGTGCGTCTGGGTCCTCTGTCTCCTCTTCCTCCTCCTCTACCAGATGCTCCTGCTCCTCCACTCCTGTCCGCTGAGTGGAAAAACCACCCATTTCACTCTCAAATAATTCCTGAGCACCAATGTCCTCCCTCTACCTCCTCCTCTTCTTCCTGTCCTGCCCCCACAGGGGTCATGTGGCGTTGAGATCTGTGCGCCACGTCTACCGCACCCTGACCAGCCATGTGTTAACAGCATTTGTTCCAGGACGTGCAACAGAGGAATGACGTCGTTCATCCCATAGTCCTGCCGACTCACGAATAGCGTGGCCTCCTCAAAGGGCCTGAGCAAGCGCAGGTGTCACGCATGAGCTGCCAATGGCTGACATCTAAGTTACACAGGGAGTACCTTTATCCGCTTTTAACATCAGGAAATCTGTGATGGCCTTTCGCTGTTCGTAAAGGCGGTCTAACATATGTAGGGTTGAATTCCACCTTGTTGCAACGTCACAGGATGAGGAGGCGGTACAGGGGCCCATGGCAGATTAGGGGCCTGGCAGCAGCTATGGGAGGCCCGTAATCTGCCAGCACCCTATGACAAAAAAATGGAACACACCAGAGCAGTGTGAGGAGACCTGAAAGTGACACATGGCATGACACACTGTGGACCTGGCAGCAGCATGAGGAGGCGGTACAGGGGCCCATGGCAGATTAGGGGCCTGGCAGCAGCTATGGGAGGCCCGTAATCTGCCAGCACCCTATGTCAAAAAATTGAACACACCAGCAGTGTGTGAGGAGACCTGAAAGTGGCACATGGCAGAGTGTGGCGATGGAGACAGCAGCAATGGGACACTGTACAGGGACCCATGAGAGACTCTGGACTTGGCAGCAGCATGAGGAGGTGGTATAGGGGCCCATGGCAGATTAGGGGCCTGGCAGCAGCTATGGGAGGCCCGTAATCTGCCAGCACCCTATGTCAAAAAATTTAACACACCAGCAGTGTGAGGAGACCTGAAAGTGGCACATGGCATGAGACACTGTGGACCTGGCAGCAGCATGAGGAGGCATGAGGAGGCGGTACAGGGGCCCATGGCAGATTAGGGGCCTGGCAGCAGCTATGGGAGGCCCGTAATCTGCCAGCACCCTATGTCAAAAAAATGGAACACACCAGCAGTGTGAGGAGACCTGAAAGTGGCACATGGCATGAGACACTGTGGACCTGGCAGCAGCACGAGGAGGCGGTACAGGGGGCCCATGGCAGGTTAGGGGCCTGGCAGCAGCTATGGGACGCCCGTAATCTGCCAGCACCCTATGTCAAAAAATTGAACACACCAGCAGTGTGTGAGGAGACCTGAAAGTGGCACATGGCAGAGTGTGGCGATGGATGGAGACAGCAGCAATGGGACGCCGTACAGGGACCCATGAGAGACTCTGGACTTGGCAGCAGCATGAGGAGGGTGGTATAGGGGCCCATGGCAGATTAGGGGCCTGGCAGCAGCTATGGGAGGCCCGTAATCTGCCAGCACCCTATGACAAAAAAATGGAACACACCAGCAGTGTGAGGAGACCTGAAAGTGGCACATGGCAGAGTGTGGCGATGGAGACAGCAGCAATGGGAGGCCGTACAGGGACCCATGAGAGACTGTGGACCTGGCAGCAGCATGAGGAGGCGGTACAGGGGCCCATGGCAGATTAGGGCCTGGCAGCAGCTATGGGAGGCCCGTAATCTGCCAGCACCCTATGACAAAAAATGGAACACACCAGCAGTGTGAGGAGACCTGAAAGTGGCACATGGCAGAGTGTGGCGATGGAGACAGCAGCAATGGGAGGCCGTACAGGGACCCATGAGAGACTGTGGACCTGCAGCAGCATGAGGAGGCGGTACTGGGGCCCATGGCAGATTAGGGGCCTGGCAGCAGCAATGGGAGGCCCGTAATCTGCCAGCACCCTATGACAAAAAATGGAACACACCAGCAGTGTGTGAGGAGACCTGAAAGTGGCACATGGCAGAGTGTGGCGATGGAGACAGCAGCAATGGGAGGCGGTTCAGGGACCCATGAGACACTGTGGACCTGGCAGCAGCATGAGGAGGCGGTACAGGGGCCCATGGCAGATTAAGCCTGGCAGCAGCAATGGGAGGCCCGTAATCTGCCAGCACCCTATGACAAAATGGAACCCTGGGCTGGGGCAGGCAGAACCGCCGTATCTTTATCACGGTTTTCCCAGGCCACCGAATGGCGACGCTGCATATGCTGACGCAACGCTGTAGTCCCAACATGGGCCCCCTGGCCACGCTTGACTTTCTGGCCACATAGTCGACATACGGCTACGTTTACTTCCTCGGGCGGCTTGACGAAAAATTGCCACACCGCCGCCGTAGGAAACTTTGCCCCCGCTACCCTCACTGGCTGACTGCTACTTCCTCCGTGCACACCGGCACCACTACTGGCCGTGGTGGTAGGCTGCAGTGGAGCTGGTGCTCTACTCCGTGGCCGTTTGCCTCCACTGACACTGCTGCGACCCTGCTGCCTCCTGGCAGCAGCAATGGGAGGCCGTACAGGGACCCATGACACACTCTGGGACCTGGCAGCAGCATGAAGAGGCGGTACAGGGGCCCATGGCAGATTACGGGCCTGGCAGCAGCAATGGGAGGCCCGTAATCTGCCAGCACCCTATGACAAAAAATGGAACACACCAGCAGTGTGAGGGAGACCTGAAAGTGGCACATGCATGGCAGAGTGTGGCGATGGAGACAGCAGCAATGGGAGGCCGTACAGGGACCCATGAGAGACTCTGGACCTGGCAGCAGCATGAGGAGGCGGTACAGGGGCCCATGGCAGATTAGGGGCCTGGCAGCAGCTATGGGAGGCCCGTAATCTGCCAGCACCCTATGAAAAAAATGGAACACACCAGCAGTGTGTGAGGAGACCTGAAAGTGGCACATGGCAGAGTGTGGCGATGGAGACAGCAGCAATGGGAGGCCGTACAGGGACCCATGAGAGACACTGTGGACCTGGCAGCAGCATGAGGAGGCGGTAAAGGGGCCCATGGCAGATTAGGGGCCTGGCAGCAGCAATGGGAGGCCCGTAATCTGCCAGCACCCTATGACAAAAAATGGAACACACCAGCAGTGTGAGGAGACCTGAAAGTGGCACATGGCATGAGACACTGTGGACCTGGCAGCATGCATGAGGAGGCGGTACAGGGGCCCATGGCAGATTAGGGGCCTGGCAGCAGCTATGGGAGGCCCGTAATCTGCCAGCACCCTATGACAAAAAATGGAACACACCAGCAGTGTGTGAGGAGACCTGAAAGTGGCACATGGCAGAGTGTGGCGATGGAGACAGCAGCAATGGGAGGCCGTACAGGGACCCATGAGAGACTCTGGACCTGGCAGCAGCATGAGGAGGCGGTACAGGGGCCCATGGCAGATTAGGGCCTGGCAGCAGCAATGGGAGGCCCGTAATCTGCCAGCACCCTATGACAAAAAATGGAACACACCAGCAGTGTGAGGAGACCTGAAAGTGGCACATGGCATGAGACACTGTGCGATGACCTGGCAGCAGCATGAGGAGGCGGTACAGGGCCCATGGCAGATTAGGGGCCTGGCAGCAGCTATGGGAGGCCCGTAATCTGCCAGCACCCTATGACAAAAAATGGAACACACCAGCAGTGTGTGAGGAGACCTGAAAGTGGCACATGGCAGAGTGTGGCGATGGAGACAGCAGCAATGGGAGGCCGTACAGGGACCCATGAGAGACTCTGGACCTGGCAGCAGCATGAGGAGGCGGTACAGGGGCCCATGGCAGATTAGGGGCCTGGCAGCAGCTATGGGAGGCCCGTAATCTGCCAGCACCCTATGACAAAAATGGAACACACCAGCAGTGTGAGGAGACCTGAAAGTGGAACATGGCAGAGTGTCGCGATAAAGACAGCAGCAATGGGAGGCCGTACAGGGACCCATGAGACACTGTGGACCTGGCAGCAGCATGAGAGGCGGTACAGGGGCCCATGGCAGATTAGGGGCCTGGCAGCAATGGGAGGCCCGTAATCTGCCAGCACCCTATGACAAAAAATGGAACACACCAGCAGTGTGAGGAGACCTGAAAGTGGCACATGGCAGAGTGGGCACATGGCATGAGACACTGTGGACCTGGCAGCAGCATGAGGAGGCGGTACAGGGGCCCATGGCAGATTAGGGGCCTGGCAGCAGCTATGGGAGGCCCGTAATCTGCCAGCACCCTATGACAAAAAATGGAACACACCAGCAGTGTGTGAGGAGACCTGAAAGTGGCACATGGCAGAGTGTGACGATGGAGACAGCAGCAATGGGAGGCCGTACAGGGACCCATGAGAGACTCTGGACCTGCAGCAGCATGAGGAGGCGGTACAGGGGCCCATGGCAGATTACGGGCCTGGCAGCAGCTATGGGAGGCCCGTAATCTGCCAGCACCCTATGACAAAAAATGGAACACACCAGCAGTGTGAGGAGACCTGAAAGTGGCACATGGCATGAGACACTGTGGACCTGTCAGCAGCATGAGGAGGCGGCAGCATACAGGGGCCCATGGCAGATTAGGGGCCTGGCAGCAGCTATGGGAGGCCCGTAATCTGCCAGCACCCTATGTCAAAAAATTGAACACACCAGCAGTGTGTGAGGAGACCTGAAAGTGGCACATGGCAGAGTGTGGCGATGGAGACAGCAGCAATGGGAGGCCGTACAGGGACCCATGAGAGACTCTGGACTTCGCAGCAGCATGAGGAGGCGGTATAGGGCCCATGGCAGATTAGGGGCCTGGCAGCAGCTATGGGTGGCCCGTAATCTGCCAGCACCCTATGACAAAAAATGGAACACACCAGCAGTGTGAGAGACCTGAAAGTGGCACATGGCAGAGTGTGGCGATGGAGACAGCAGCAATGGGAGGCCGTACAGGGACCCATGAGAGACTGTGGACCTGGCAGCAGCATGAGGAGGCGGTACTGGGGCCCATGGCAGATTACGGGCCTGGCAGCAGCAATGGGAGGCCCGTAATCTGCCAGCACCCTATGACAAAAAATGGAACACACCAGCAGTGTGTGAGGAGACCTGAAAGTGGCACATGGCAGAGTGTGGCGATGGAGACAGCAGCAATGGGAGGCGGTTCAGGGACCCATGAGACACTGTGGACCTGCAGCAGCAGCATGAGGAGGCGGTACAGGGGCCCATGGCAGATTAAGGCCTGGCAGCAGCAATGGGAGGCCCGTAATCTGCCAGCACCCTATGACAAAATGGAACCCTGGGCTGGGGCAGGCAGAACCGCTGTATCTTTATCACGGTTTTCCCAGGCCACCGAATGGCGACGCTGCATATGCTGACGCAACGCTGTAGTCCCAACATGGGCCCCCTGGCCACGCTTGACTTTCTGGCCACATAGTCGACATACGGCTACGTTTACTTCCTCGGGCGGCTTGACGAAAAATTGCCACACCGCCGAGTAGGAAACTTTGCCCCCGCTACTCCTCACTGGCTGACTGCTACTTCCTCCGTGCACACCGGCACCACTACTGGCCGTGGTGGTAGGCTTCAGTGGAGCTGGTGCTCTACTCCGTGGCCGTTTGCCTCCACTGACACTGCTGCGACCCTGCTGCCTCCTGGCAGCAGCAATGGGAGGCCGTACAGGGACCCATGAGACAATGTGGACCTGGCAGCAGCATGAGGAGGCGGTAAAGAGGCCCATGGAAGATTAGGGGCCTGGCAGCAGCTATGGGAGGCCCGTAATCTGCCAGCACCCTATGTCAAAAATTTGAACACACCAGCAGTGTGTGAGGAGACCTGAAAGTGGCACATGGCAGAGTGTGGCGATGGAGACAGCAGCAATGGGAGGCCTTACAGAGACCCATGAGACACTCTGGACCTGGCAGCAGCATGAGGAGGCGCTATAGGGGCCCATGGCAGATTAGGGGCCTGGCAGCAGCTATGGTAGGCCCGTAACCTGCCAGCACCCTATGACAAAAAATGTAACACACCAGCAGTGTGAGGAGACCTGAAAGTGGCACATGGCAGAGTGTGGCGATGGAGACAGCAGCAATGGGAGGCCGTACAGGGACCCATGAGAGACTCTGGACCTGGCAGCAGCATGAGGAGGCGGTACAGGGGCCCATGGCAGATTAGGGGCCTGGCAGCAGCTATGGGAGGCCCGTAATCTGCCAGCACCCTATGACAAAAAATTCAACACACCAGCAGTGTGAGGAGACCTGAAAGTGGCACATGGCAGGGGCATGATTCATTGCGGATTTAGTCAGTTGTATCAGGAACTGGTGGTTTGAAATCCAGACTAATCCACGCCTGATTCATTTTCACAAACGTGAGTCTCTCCACACTTTGGGTGGACAGTCGTGTCCTCCGCGGAGTTACAATACCTCCTGCCGCACTAAACACGCGCTCCGATGCCACGCTACTGGCCGGGCATGACAGCCTTTCAAGGGCAAATTCAGCTAGTTGGGGCCAAAGGTCAAGTTTCGTTGCCCAGTAGTCAAGGGGATTGTCTACCTCGGTTGGCAGGGTGCTGTCCAAGTAGGCCCAAGCCTGTTGTTTGAGGTCCTGCTCCAGGTCCACCTGATGCTGCTGCTGCTGCTGCGGCTGGTTACTAGTTTCCTCACTGCGCTGGTGAAGAAAGCTACTCATCATCGACTGCAGACTGAGGCAGCCGCTGCTGGTGGAGCTGCCACTGCTCCTACCACCCCACCCCTCCTTTGCTGCCATGGCAGCGGAACGCGAGCGCACAGGGCCCACAGGGTCTGAGGATGGACGTTGGCGCACAAAGGCAGAGACCAACTGACTACATAGGTGGTTTTTATAGTACGTTATTTTGGCCTCCCTCTCAGCAGGTGTGAAAAAGGCCACCATTTTTGAACGGTAGCGAGGGTCCAACAAGGTGGACAGCCAAAAGTCATCCCTCTGTCTGACGGTTATTATTCGGCTGTCACTACGCAAGCAACCGAGCATGCTATGGGCCATTTGTGCCAAGGAATGCGAGGGACTCCCTGCCTCCATCTCCACAGCATACTGCCACGGTGCGTCTGGGTCCTCTGTCTCCTCCTCCTTCTCCTCTACCAGATGCTCCTGCTCCTCCACTCCTGTCCGCTGAGTGGAAAAAACCACCCATTTCACTCAATAATTCCTGAGCACAAATGTCCTCCTCTACCCCCTCCTCTTCTTCCTGTCCTGCCCCCACAGGTGTCATGTGGCGTTGAGATCTGTGCGCCACGTCTACCGCACCCTGACCAGCCATTGTTAACAGCATTTGTTCCAGGACGTGCAACAGAGGAATGACGTCGTTCATTGTTAGATTTCCAGAGTTATGAAAAAAACTCTATTAATATTTCTAGGTTCTTGTAGATGGTTGTGGGAAGAAATCCTTATGAAAACCAGGTCAGTATGAGCAGTGTGACTTTATTTGATCACACACCAAAAATACAAAGTCAATAAAAAACAGTAAATTCAGACATATGTAGCTTAAAATGAAATAAAAATAAAGAATAAATTGCCTTGGATATTAGGAAATAATGTAGTTCCTTTGCATAGCTTAGATAGAAGTTTTCTTGGCCTAGTTTAAGAAATGACCATGTGAGATTCAATTTCTTTTGTTCTTTGTCCAAGCATGTGCTTTGAGTAAGAGTGTGTGAAAAGAATGTCTCTGTGTGTGTGAGTGAATGAAGTGAAGTGTAGTCTATCTGAGAAACTTCTGCCTCGTTGTTTGAAAAGCTGCATACTTAAAATGCATGAGAAATTAGATCCTCCCATTAAGCTTTGTTTCAAATTCGCGGGCTTCTAAACCACTCCCATAATCACTCCTAATTTGAATAGAAACAGATGTTCCCATTCAAACCACCAAGTCATTATCATGATTGACATACAGACCATGAGAAAGGTTTCTGAAGTTCTTATATTACATACAACTGTCAAAATCCATGATTTATGACTACAATTTAAACTCTCAGACTCATTAAACGAATTCACAGTATGGTATACATTACATGAGTATTTTAAAAGAAAACATGACTTTAAACCTCTACTGATTACCTAGACTCAAACACAAATAAATTCACATCCGACCACTTAAATACAAAAACCTCACATTCACATCCAATTAATAGGGGATATATTCTGCCAGCATATATTTCAAAAACTACTAAAGACCGAATTAAAGTTTGGATATTAAAAAATTAATATTACATTCCCCTCTGAAATATGAAATTCATATTAATTTATAACAAACACACATCATTTATATCACAAACACTCAGGTTTTGATTTAGTAATCTCAAATGTATCATTATTTGTAACTGAGTCAGCATAACCAGAAAGTAGTTTCCTCTGAAGTATATCTTGTAATAGATTATCTCCTTTCCTAATTTCACTTCTAATTCGCTTATAGAAACTGTTCATTTTACACATCAAACATAATTGAAATATAATACATAATATGATAATAATAAAATAATTAATTATTACAGGATGTAATAAAATATTTCCTGCTGCAGATGCAATTGAAGTTTTTCCCAACATTGATACAGTACGTTTAAATTTTGACCACCAAGAATGACCTGAAAATTCAGACCATTCATGTTCTATATCTTTTAAACTCCCTTGTTCATGTTTAAATAATATTTCTGCTTTTTGAAGTTCATCTGATAATGCTATCAGTAAACCTTCATCTTTTTGAATAACATTTGCCCAATCTCTCCATGGGAATTCATCCACTTGAGATATATTGTACTGTATGGGAAGAGCACTTATATTTTTCATAAGCATGTTTGTTAAATTCATTCTCATCCCATTAACACTTATTGCTGAAATATCTCCTTCTATACAGAACAAACCTCGACTTAAGTTTTCTGTATGTGTACAAGAAGAAGAAGGATTGAACCCTTTCTGAGTCAGACATAACTTGAAAACAAACTTTCTTTTTATCTACAATTGAGATTAACTCAGAAGTGGTTTTAACCTTTTCTATCCTTGCTGAACATAGAGTATGGTTATGGTAACAAGAATGAAATATACCTTTGTCTTGATTAGGTAGACAAATCACTTTAGACTGAAATTGTAAACATGAAGACAGATCTAATTGTTCTAACTCAAAATTATTATCAGTAAATGCAAAATCTGTATATTGCAGATGATAATATAGTAACTGTGTGTTGCTAACTGGTAATCCCAAGACAGTGATTGGAACCAATATTTGTTCTTTTTCCTGCTACAGGAATCATTGAAGAACTATAGCATATGTTCTGATAACATCCAATCCACTTATTTACCCACAGATCAGTATGGTTTATGGCATATACATACTCTCTTGGTAAATTTTGTACAATACCTATAGGAGTTATTCCACTTTGAAAAGCTTGAGCTATTATTTTAAAATTTGTGGAATATTCCCATCTGAATTTCTAAACATGCTCTGGCTATATGGGAATGCTGTTCACTTGACATTAAATTAAGAGTAATATTCTCTAAGTGTAATATAGATGGACCCATAATATTGGCTGTTTTAATCACCATATTTTCCAATATTTGATTCAAGTTTCTTTGTACTTTAATACTATTGCTTCCCACTAAACCGGCTGTCTCGAGATCAGACTTTAGTGTACTAATGTCCATGCTATTTGTAATACTACCAATAGTACCAATTCCTCCTAAAATACCTTCAACTATACCACGTTTATTCCTGTGAGGATTCCTAATATCAGTACCAAACCATCTTTCAATACCTAATTCCATGTTAACCAGATGTTCTTTACATTGTGGAAACCTGTTGAGATTTTCCATTCTGAAATGTTAAAGTTCCACACTATAATAACAAATTTTCCTTCTCTCAACAGAAGTTGGTGGTCTGGAAATGGTTAATTTGGAAGGGACTGGCTGGAATAAATTTCTTATCCGTACACTGCGTTCTTTTAGGGGATAGTACAATTACATTTGTATTTACACATTTCTTCGGATAATTTTCTATTGATATGCAGCATTCATATACAGTATACCTGTATCATTAATTGATATAGTGTTTTGATGATACACAAAGTTATCATTATCCCAGTTCAAATTACCAAAAATACTTTTA